GATTGACCTGCTGTCAAACTGGGCGGTCAGATCCTGCATCCCAATCCCAGTCGCCTCCAACTCTGGGTCTGGCCACTACAGGGCCCGGCGTTTCTCTCTGAGTATGGCGGGGACATCGGACACACGATGAATAAAGCCAGGGCCCCTACTACGCGACTGGTGTACGCCCATAAGTGGAAGGCTTTTAGCCGCTGGTGTCAGGAAAGAAATGAGGACCCTGTACACTGACCTATTTCTGTTATTGTAACCTTCCTTCAAGCACTGCTTTCTCAAGGTTGCACCCTCCCACACGCCCTGTTGTGCCGGTGTGGGACCTCTCTATTGTCCTCGCTGCCCTGCACTCTCCTCCCTTTGAACCATTGGCAGAGGCAAGCCTTGAGTGTGTGTCAAAGAAGACAGCTTTTCTCTTCGCCATGGCCTCGGCAAAACGGGTGGGTGAACTACATGCCTTGTCTGTTCACGAGTCCTGCTGCCGTTGGAACCCGGCTGGTTGGGGTGTTACTCTTTGGCCTGATACAGCGTTTCTTCCTAAAGTGGCTTCTGTGAGCCACACTGTGCCCCTCCAGCTTGGTCGCCTTGATGCGGATGGGCCTTATGAGCTTCTCTGCCCTCTTCGGGCACTGAAAGCCATACGTCAGTTGCACAGCTTCTCTCTGGCAGTTGGATAGTCTGTTTGTTTGCTACGCGGGGCCCCGCAAGGGGCAGGCCCTTTCTGAACAGTGCCTCGCGCGTTGGATTGTGGATGTAGTGGAACAAGTGTACATTTGGCAGGGCCTCCAACCCCCCGCTGGTGTATGGTGCCATTCCACCAGGGAGGTCAGTGTGTCATGGGCTGCTATGACTGGTGTCACTCTAGAGGCTATTTGTTCAGCAGCCTCTTGGTCATCCCTGAATACCTTTGCTAGGTTGACAGGGTTAACCTGGCCACCCCTCACCGAACGCAGGGGATCCTGTCCCAGCGAGCAGCAACTTCCCAGTGAGGTGGGCATGTTTCTGGTTGTTGTTGCTGTGTGATTCCTCAGGACTCTGTTGGTCATCGTCATCCGTGCTTTAAGCACCGCCTCTGGCGGTCAGTAGGGATGAAATAGAACGAAAGTTACGACTGTGACTACGGTTCTATGAATCCCGGATGACCGCCAGAGCACTCTGTCCCTCGGAATCATTGTGTTTTTCACGAGAAGATTAAGGGACTGAGCTGTTGCTGTCAAGTGACTATATGCACTCACCAGTGTTACAGGGGGTCACACATGACTATGTTGTATAACATTCTCGACCTGTGCAAGCGCAAGTGTGATCATTTGTGCTAAGCACCGCCTCTCGCGGTAATCCGGGATTCATATAACCGTAGTAACAGTCGTAACTTTCGTTCAAACTCCTGTTCTTGTGAAATGAGAAGTATCAGCACTGAGAGCCAATAAAACATGAATGAATGCCTCTTCCACACAAACTTCTCTTTATTGGTCATAGTGCTGTGTCTGTGTTGCATTAATCAATTCAATTCAGTTTACTTATATAGTGCCAAATTCACAACACATGTCATCTCAAGGCACTTTACACTTCAACCAGATCATACAGTCAAATTGATACAAAGTTTTCTATCTAAGGAAAACCAGTTGATTGCATCGACTCATTGACTCAAATACAATCCCTCACATTAAGCATGCTTGTAGCAACAGTGGAGAGGAAGAACTCCCTTTTAACAGGAAGAAACCTCCAGCAGAACCAGGCTCAGGGTGAGCGGCCATCTGCCGAGGCTGACTGGGGTTCAAGGAGACGGAAGCAGAGACACAAAAAGCAGCTGTAAAAGGCGGCCCCGTCCAGGAAACACACAGCCAGGCAGACAAGCTCCGAGCCAGCTCCCATGCCAGAGGACGAAGAGAGCACATCCAGCCAGTCACAGGATCACACTGGAAAACAGGCCGCTCTCCAATATCTATAAACAAGGGTGTTGATGGAAGCAGCACAGCTGATGTTTCTTTCCAGGATGACGTCACATTCAAACAGGAACAGACGAGGAAAAGCTACTCTGAGGAAAAGCAGAGAGAGCAGAATGTTAGAGATTGAACTAACAGATTCTGCAGACTAAAAGAACAGAGAGAGAATGAAGCAGAATGATGAAATGGGTCCCTATGTCCTCCAGAAGTCTAAGCCTATAGCAGCATAACTATAGAGATAGCTCAGGATAACCTGAGCCACCCTAACTACAAGCTTTATCAAAAAGGAAAGTTTTAAGCCTAGCCTTAAAAGTAGACAGGGTGTCTGCCTCACGGACTAAAACTGGTAGTTGGTTCCACAGGAGAGGAGCCTGATAACTAAAAGATCTGCCTCCCATTCTATTTTTAGAAATTCTAGGAACCACTAGTAAACCTGCAGATTGAGAGCGATGTGCTCTGTTAGGAACATAAAGAACAATCAGATCTCTGATATCAGATGGAGCTTGGCCATTTAAGGCTTTATACAGGTGCTGGTCATAAAATTAGAATATCATGAAAAAGTAGATTGATTTCAGTAATTCCATTTAAAAAGTGAAACTTGTATATTATATTCATAGATTACATACAAACTCATATATTTCAGATGTTTATTTTGTTTAATTTTGATGATTACAAATGACAACAAATGAAAATCTCAAATTCATCATATCAGAAAATTAGAATATTACTGAAGACCAATAAAAACAAAGGATTTATAGAAATGTTGGCCAACTGAAAAGTATGAACATGAAAAGTATGAGCATGTACAGCACTCAGTATTTAGTTGGGCCTCCTTTGGCCTGTATTACTGCAGCAATGCGGCGTGGCATGGAGTCGATCAGTCTGTGGCACTGCTCAGGTGTTATGATAGCCCAGGTTGCTCTAATAGTGGCTTTTAGCTCTTCTGAATTGTTGGGTCTGGTGTATTGCATCTTCTTCTTCACAATACCCCATAGATTTTCTATGGGGTTAAGGTCAGGAGAGTTTGCTGGCCAATTAAGAACAGGGATACCATGGTCCTTCAACCAGGTACTGGTAGCTTTGGCACTGTGTGCAGGTGCCAAGTCCTGTTGGAAAATGAAATCTGCATCTCCAAAAAGTTGGTCAGCTGCAGGAAGCATGAAGTGCTCTAAAACTTCCTGGTATGTGGCTGCGTTGACCCTGGACCTCAGAAAACACAATGGACCAACACCAGCAGATGACATGGCACCCCAAACCATCACTGACTGTGGAAACTTTACACTGGACTTCAAGCAACGTGGATGAAGTGCCTCTCTTCTTTTCCTCCAGACTCTGGGACCTTGATTTCCAAAGGAAATGCAAAATTTACTTTCATCAGAGAACATGACTTTGGACCACTCACCAGCAGTCCAGTCCTGTTTCTCTTTAGCCCAGGCAAGACGCTTCTGACGCTGTCTGTGGTTCAAGAGTGGCTTGACACAAGGAATGCGACAGCAGAAACCCATGTCTTTCATACGTCTGTGTGTGGTGGTTCTTGAAGCACTCACTCCAGCTGCAGTCCACTCTTTGTGAATCTCCCCCACATTTTTGAATGGGTTTTGTTTCACAATCCTCTCCAGGGTGCGGTTATCTCTCTTGCTTGTACACTTTTTTCGACCACATCTTTTCCTTCCCTTCGCCTCTCTATTAATGTGCTTGGACACTGAGCTCTGTGAACAGCCAGCCTCTTTAGCGATGACCTTTTGTGTCTTGCCCTCCTTGTGCAAGGTGTCGATGGTCGTCTTTTGGACAACTGTCAAGTCAGCAGTCTTCCCCATGATTGTGTAGCCTATAGAACTAGACTGAAAGACCATTTAAAGGCTTTTGCAGGTGGTTTGAGTTAATTAGCTGATTAGAGTGTGGCACCAGGGGCCATCAATTTTGAACCTTTTCACAATATTCTAATTTTCTGATATGATGAATTTGAGATTTTCATTTGTTGTCATTTGTAATCATCAAAATTAAACAAAATAAACATCTGAAATATATGAGTTTGTATGTAATGTATGAATATAATATACAAGTTTCACTTTTTAAATGGAATTACTGAAATCAATCTACTTTTTCATGATATTCTAATTTTATGACCAGCACCTGTATGTGAGAAGGAGGATTTTAAATTATATTCTTGATTTAACAGGAAGCCAATGAAGAGAAACCAGGATAGGAGAGACCTGATCTCAGAGCTGGGAAATACAAAAACTTCATATCATTTAATATTGTAGCACGGCTAAGTTAATTTTTCCAAGTGAAAAAAAAAAAAATCTGGTGCCGGAGCCGGGAATAAAGTCCAGGAGATGCCACTGGTTTAGTTGTTAAAGACCATTTGATTACCAGCAGAACAACTGAAGGTCCGACTGAAATCTTCTAGCAACACGTGTTGTTTGTCACCAAGGATCTTAAAGCTGTAAAGATCAGGAAGGCCTAAGGGTCAGATTCCCATTAGATTCCCAGTTTAGTGAAGACAACCGACAGGATCATGGGGACCCTGAATCCATCTAAAGTACCAGATCTGTTTGGACGGGTCATCATTAAACAGGCTACCAACATTCATTTGGAGACAGAACATGAGCTGTCATCTGAGTGTTTGATTGAAGTCAGGGAGAAAATCCAGGGTTCCTTTATGGAAACACAATCGTATTAAACATTCATTGTAGGCAGGAGATGAACAGAAGCCAAGATAAATGCTGGGATGTGTTTGAAGACTTTTCCTCTGAACATTATCTATTTCTTCTTGCAGTTGATGCTGCTTGTGTTGTTCTGGTTCTGGATTGTGTTGCAGCTCTGCTCTTTGTCCAACACAGATTTCTCCTGGAGGAGACTAATAAACACACCTTGATCTGGACCTTCACACGTCATTAGAACATGTTCTGGTTCTGCTTGGTTTACTCTTTTAACTTGATCATTTTCTGGGACTTTAGCTTTCACTCAAATAATTTTTCTACATTTATAGTCATTATTGTTTCATTATTTTAGTTTTAACTTGTTTCCTCAGTTGCTTCAACACATCTTTTAATCTTTATTCAGATTGAATGGCTGTAGGTTGTCAGAGATCAGCTGTGTTTTTCTGGTCTTGGCTCTGAAGTCCAACCCCTCCCATCTGACAGAACTGGACCTGAGCAACAACAACCTGAAAGATGGTGGAGTGAAGCAGCTCTTTGGTTTTCTCCAGTCTCCCCTCTGCAAACTACAGACATTGAGGTCAGTCACCATATTTTAGTTTAGTGCTGATATTTCTGATGGTAAAGTTGTTTTGAAGGCAAGGCAAGGGCAAGGCAAATGTATTTGTATAGCACAATTCAGTACATGATTAAAATATAGGGAAAAAAACAGAATCAAAGCAAGTAGGGGAAAAAAATAAATAATGCAGAAACAAAAAAGAGGCAAGGCGCTGACCAACTGGATCAACACTGCGGCGTTGAGGCAAGGTCTGAAGACAGCTTATATGGTCTGATGATCTTGATGGGCTGCAGCTGTGCAGGAGGCTCACTCAGAAGGATCCACGGCGGACTCTGCTGGAGAAAGGTGGAACTTCTTCCAACAAAAACATGTTTTTTGTTGAACTGTTTAACTAGAACAGTCGAAGGCAATCCTAAACAAATGTGTTTTTAGTCTTAATTTAAAGGAACTCAAGCTTTCCGCACTTTTACAGTTTTCTGGAAGTTTGTTCCAGATAAGTGGAGCATAGGAACTAAATGCTGCTTCTCCATGTTTAGTTCTGGTTCTAGGTATGCAGAGCAGGCTGGAGCCAGAAGACCTGAGTGGTCTGGAGGGTTGATACACTGATAGCAAGTCTGTGATGTATTTAGATGCTAAGCCATTCAGAGATTTATAGACTAACATAAGTATTTTAAAGACTATTCTTTGAAATACAGGGAGCCAGTGTAAGGACTTTAGAACTGGGGTGATGTGCTCTACTTTTTTAGTCTTAGTGAGGACACGGGCAGCAGCGTTCTGCATCAGCTGCAGCTGTCTGATCCACTTTTTAGGCAGACTTGTGAAAACACCGTTGCAGTAATCAATTTGACTAAAAATAAACACATGGATTAGTTTTTTCCAGATCATGCTGAGACATTAGTCCTTTAATCCTGGAAATGTTCTTCAGGCTATAGAAAGCCAACGTTGTAATTGTCTTTAAATGCTTTTGAAGGATCAATTCTGAATCCAGCACTACACCTAGATTTCGGGCCTGATCAGTGGTTACTAGCTGAAGTTGGCTGTCTTTAGTGAATACAACCAATAGGATCATGGGGACACTGATCCCATCTAAGGTATCAGATCTGTTTGGACGGGTCATCGATTAAACAGGCTACCAACATTGATTTGGAGACAGAACATGAGCTGTCATCTGAGTGTTTGCTCAAAGTCAGGGAGAAGATCCAGGGTTCCTTTATGGAAACACAATCGTATTAAACATTCATTTATTCCTCCTTCAATCCAACTAGTAAGAGACCGGTAGGCAGGAGATGAACAAGAGCCAAGATAAATGCTGGGATGTGTTTGAAGACTTTTCCTCTGAACTTTTTTCTCATCTATTTCTTCTTGCAGTTGATGCTGCTTTTTTGGTTCTGGATTGTGTTGGTTGCAGCTCTGCTCTTTGTCCAACACAGGGTTCTCCTGGAGGAGATTAATAAACACCCCTTGATCTGGACCTTCACACGTCATTAGAACATGTTCTGGTTCTGCTTGGTTTACTACTTTAACTTGATCATTTTTCTGGGACTTTAGCTTTCACTCAAATTATTTTTTTTCATTATTTTAGTTTTAACCTGTCTCTCCAGTTGCTTCAACACGTCTTTTATTCTTTATTCAGATTGAATGGCTGCAGTTTGTCAGAGATCAGCTGTGCTTCTCTGGTCTCAGCTCTGAAGTCCAACCCCTCCCATCTGACAGAACTGGACCTGAGCAACAACAACAACCTGAAAGATGGTGGAGTGAAGCAGCTCTGTGGTTTTCTCCAGTCTCCCCTCTGCAAACTACAGACATTGAGGTCAGTCACCATGTTTTAGTTTAATGCTGTTATTTCTGATGGTAAAGTTGTTTTGAAGGCAAGGCAAGGGCAAGGCAAATGTATTTGTATAGCACAATTCAGTACATGATTAAAATATAGGAAAATAAAACAGAATCAAAGCAAGTAGGGGAAAAAAAATAAATAATGCAGAAACAAAAAAGACCTTTAAAAATAGTTGGACTAAAGTAAATAAAAAAGTTAAACTAATTAGGTTTCAGTTGGACTGTTTAACTAGAACAGTCAAAGGCAATCCTAAACAAATGTGTTTTTAGTCTTAATTTAAAGGAACTCAAGCTTTCCACACTTTTGCAGTTTTCTAAAAAGTTTGTTCCATATAAGTGGAGCATAGGAACTAAATGCTGCTTCTCCATGTTTAGTTCTGGTTCTAGGTATGCAGAGCAGGCTGGAGCCAGAAGACCTGAGTGGTCTGGAGGGTTGATACACTGATAGCAAGTCTGTGATGTATTTAGGTGCTAAGCCATTCAGAGATTTATAGACTAACATAAGTATTTTAAAGACTATTCTTTGAAATAAAGGGAGCCAGTATAAGGACTTTAGAACTGGGGTGATGTGCTCTACTTTTTTAGTCTTAGTGAGGACACGGGCAGCAGCGTTCTGGATCAGCTGCAGCTGTCTGATCCACTTTTTAGACAGACTTGTGAAAACACTGTTGCAGTAATCAATTCGACTAAAAATAAACACATGGATTAGTTTTTTCTAGATCATGCTGAGACATTAGTCCTTTAATCCTGGAAATGTTCTTCAGGCTATAGAAAGCCAACGTTGTAATTGTCTTTAAATGCTTTTGAAGGATCAATTCTGAATCCAGCACTACACCTAGATTTCGGGCCTGATCAGTGGTTACTAGCTGAAGTTGGCTGTCTTTAGTGAATACAACCAATAGGATCATGGGGACACTGATCCCATCTAAGGTATCAGATCTGTTTGGACGGGTCATCGATTAAACAGGCTACCAACATTGATTTGGAGACAGAACATGAGCTGTCATCTGAGTGTTTGATCAAAGTCAATGAGAAGATCCAGGGTTCCTTTATGGAAACACAATCGTATTAAACATTCATTTATTCCTCCTTCAATCCAACTAGGAAGCGACCGGTTGGCAGGAGATGAACAGAAGCCAAGATAAATGCTGGGATGTGTTTGAAGACTTTTCCTCTGAACTCTTTTCTCATCTATTTCTTCTTGCAGTTGATGCTGCTTTTTTGGTTCTGGATTGTGTTGGTTGCAGCTCTGCTCTTTGTCCAACACAGGGTTCTCCTGGAGGAGATTAATAAACACCCTTTGATCTGGACCTTCACACATCATTAGAACATGTTCTGGTTCTGCTTGGTTTACTACTTTAACTTGATAATTTTTCTGGGACTTTAGCTTTCACTCAAATTATTTTTTCTAAATTTTTTGTAAATTATTTTTACATTATTTTAGTTTTAACCTGTCTCTCCAGTTGCTTCAACACATCTTTTATTCTTTATTCAGATTGAATGGCTGCAGTTTGTCAGAGATCAGCTGTGCTTCTCTAGTCTCAGCTCTGCAGTCCAACCCCTCCCATCTGACAGAACTGGACCTGAGCAACAACAACAACCTGAAAGATGGTGGAGTGAAGCAGCTCTGCGGTTTTCTCCAGTCTCCCCTCTGCAAACTACAGAAATTGAGGTCAGTCACCATGTTTTAGTTTAATGCTGTTATTTCTGATGGTAAAGTTGTGTTGACTCTAAACTGCAGACATATGGCTGATATTCTACTGATCCACACTGAGGATCTTCAGGCTAAAGTCTGATTTCTTCTTCACTGCTTTGATCCAGTTAAAGTTTATTGCTTTTTCAAAGTTTCTCTCATGATTTATTCAATAATAAGCAGGAAACAAGAAGAAATGAGTTGAATTTCAGTGTGGGGTTGTAGCATTATCCAGAACTTCCCAGAATCCGGTGAATTTAGAGCTGATAATGCAGGAAATTCCCACTACCATTCCCAGCAACATTATTTAGTGATGTTGAGCCAAGATGCGCAGCAGTGTGGAACGCAGGAAGAATCCCAGAACCTCTCTAAGACTTCAGTCCTGGAGAGGACACTTGGTTCTCCCATTCTCCTCCTCTGTACAAGGTCCCTGCCCATCTGGAGATTCTTCCAGAGAATTTCTCTCTTGTTTTTATGGCCTCTGTTCAAATGGTTTGATTAGAAAGAAAAAAAACTGCTGATAAAGAGGAAGATAGAAGAAATCAAAAGCCCTGATGTGTCATTTAGTTTAATCCATGGATGTATTTATGAGCTGAACTCACATTTCTGGAACTTTGAACTGAACGATGCAGTTTTTGAAGTCAGGAACATCAAGTGAACGAAGCTCATCTTGACGTCATTTAACGTTGTTCTGTTTAAGGTGAACTAAAGATTGTCCCGTTTTTTGGGGGTAAACTTTAGTAAATTTCCTAGAGAAAGAGCAGCAGCATTTCTCCTTAGGCGCTCAGGTTCTGCTGTCGCTGCCATCGGGCAGCAGAGACCCAGTTCTGCTCTGTGAGAAACTCCATCAGTCATTTAGGCCTTTAAACGTGACTCTGCCGTCTTCAGCTTTGCTTTCTATGTCAGGACATGAACTGAAGGCTCCAACCTTAAAGCTCTCAGGTTCCTCTGAGAGATTTCTTCTTGGTTTGTGGATGGAGATGCAGCCCAGAGAACCATGAAGTAACATTGATCAGCTGCTCATTTAAAGACACAATGACATTCATGCTGTGCTTTGATGGACCATTTCTGCTTGGATGGAGGCTTGAAGAGGCCTGAACATGAGGTGGAGCCTTGGACACAAACTTTGAGCTGCAGCTGGGATCTAGAAAGGAAAACTGCTGGTTTTGTTCACAGAGTTTTAGAAATCAGGAGTTTTTTTTGTCCTGCTCCATTTTACATAAACTTTTAGCCTGGATCCTACCAATGTTTTCTAAATGAGACCCAGGACTGGGAACCACTGGGCTGTTGGATCATCCAGACACTGATTACTGAAGGACATCATTACCTGTTTATGTTTGGACTTTATTTCAGCACATGAAGATAAATAAAGGAGAACTAGTTCCAGTAGGAGCTGTGAACTGAGTTCAGAATATTTAGGTAGAGAACTATGAACATGAATCAGTTGATCTGAACCTGCTTGAACTGAGTTCAGAACCAGCTCTAGTTCAGGGAGAACTGGTTCTGAACTCATCAGAATGAGGACTGCTTGTTGTAAAGTGAGGACATTTTTCTGCTCCTGTTGAGCAGCTTTGCTAACAGTTAGCTTTAGGGTTAATGTCAGGGTCAGGGCATAGAAAGGGTTAAAATGATGAAAAATCAACGGAAGTCAATACATGATGATGATGATTATGATGATGAAGGTGGTGATAGTGATGATGATGAAGGAGAGATATGATGTTTGTGATGATGATGATTAGGGGTGTAAATCACATCCATCATGGCGATTCGATTCAGTATCGATTTCCTGACCCAACAATGTTATCATTTTCAGTACTCAAGAATACACCACGATTCGATTCGGTAATTTTTTTTTTACACCTTGCAGGATAGACAATGTTTTAAATTTGAAATAAATCAATAAAAGCTGTGATATCATTATGCATTTTTTTTAGAAAACAAAAGCAAATAACAGAAGTAGAAAAGTTGCAACCCACCTATTCCTATTAAAATCTTATTCACTGAAAAATAATAATGCCTCTGCATTATAGTTTCTTAAAGGCCTTGCATCAAAACATACTACACAAAATCAGTGCAATGAGTGCAATGCAATACCTTGGCTCCAGATGTCCCTGCCCCCTCCACAGACGCTCCGCTGCACCTCTCCCAGATTGTAGGTGACCGCAGACAGTGCCGCAGTGAATGCAGACAGGAGTTCGGCTTGTTTTGTTTTTATGATCGAAATTGTGGAAGACGACTCGTGAAGTTTGACCAGCTAGAAGAGTGAGGTGCCCGAGAACGCTGGGACCCTTTTTCCACCTTGATCTTCGCTCTTTTTGGCCCTCATGTCCCTCTGTCATCAGACTAAACTCGCCCCCACTTCCTCACTGCCTCGGCCGGATCTAGACCCACAGCGTGTAATATTGAGCATAAATCAAAAATGTCTGTGTCAAGCTCACTGTGGCACACTGCTGTAAGTGTATAACCAGGAAGCGCGGTAGAAGACCAAAATAGGTTTAGCACCACCGCAGCACGGGTGAAGATGGTGATGTTGATGAAGGTGATGAGGATGAAGATGGCGATGATGTTTGTGATGATAATGAAGGTGAGGATGAAGATAGCGATGATATTGGTGATGATGGTGATGGTGATAATAAGGATGAAGGTGGTTATGATGGTGAAGATGATGATGTTGATAATGATAAAGGTGATGAGGACGATGAGGATAAAGTTGATGATGATGATGATGATGATGATGATGATGTGATGATTAGGGTTGGGAATTGATAAGATTTTCACGATTCTGATTCCCTTATCGATACTGTGAAACAATGAACTTGGTAAGTGCATGATGACATTCATCTACCTGCACCTGGGACATCCTATTTCTGTCTGCCTCAGCGAAAACAGAAGGCAGTGAACGGGAGCTGCCAGGCTCTAAGCCAGCCAGGCTACCCGTCTCATCACAGTCATCTAAATCTAATGGAGGTTAGCCATTTAATGAAAAATCATTACTGTACAATTGCTGGAAATAAACCCATCTCCCCCTGGTTTAAAAAAATGAGCGACACCTCTGTCTCGCTCCCTGAACTTCAGAGCAACTTTGTAGCATGTTTTGTTACATCCATTGCAATAGCTAGAATCATCTAAGAATTCCAGCTACCAATAGTTCTAATTAAACATGCTAGCAATGAAGGAGAAAGGAACACTCCTTTATTAACCCCAAAGAGAGGTAGGAAACTGATTTATTTCCAGAAATGGCATCTGATTCACTAGGAACCACATTAAGCACACCATAAAAAACTACTACTTTCCCCAAGAGTTGCCTCCATGCTGGTCGTAATTTTTTCTTCTTCCAGAAA